TATATTATATTTCTATTTTGCTTCAATTTATTGTTATTTCAGTTTTTGTTTTACTATGGTTGCATTTTTGTTATGTGCTTTTTGTCATTTTTTATTATTTTTCATTTCTATTTAGCTTAAATTTACTATTATTTCTGTTTTCGTTTAGTAATTTTAGTACTTCAGTTAGTTGCCAAGGCAATATTTCTAAAGTTCAATTTCTAATTTAAAAATTAATAATATTATTAATCTAATTATTTTATTTTAGCATTATTATTTCTTTAGCTTTATCAATTAACTAAAGAATGTTTAATATTAGAATTTTAGTTTAATTAACAATAACACTGCAAGAGATTTCTCTCTTCATTCGCTTCCATTTAGACACATGCAAACCCTGGAAATTGAAATCATATCCTGTTGCTATTTACTGCTTCATTGTGGTGTACACATTTCATATGCACAAAGCCTTGTTTGAATGCATTTTTAGAAAGAAAGAGACAATTTGACTCACTTGTAAACCATCTAATCACAGTTCATTTTGTTTTTATAAGCTTTTTAAGGGGCAGAGTTTTCTGAAGTAGATTATTCTGCAGTAGACCATTATGTAAAAAATACTGAAAAGTGGAAAACATTGCGATCATAATTTTTAGAAATCAGAAAGCAAAGCGAAATATACAGAATATGAAGAGGCTGAGACTATGTAGAAATGCACCCCCATGTCTTTACCTTCTTGTATTTCTGTTGTCCTCAGGTGAAAAGCCGTACCATTGCAAGTGGGAAGGTTGCGGGTGGAAGTTCGCCCGTTCGGATGAGTTGACGAGACACTTCCGAAAACACACGGGACAGAAGCCATATGAGTGCATGCTCTGCCACAGAGCCTTCAGCCGTTCCGACCACCTGGCGTTACACATGAAGAGACATGTGTGAGGCCAAACACAAACAAAACACAAAAAGCAAATGCGTCCACACATTGAGGTTAGTCCGTGAGAGCATTTTAGAGGTTTAGAGAGGACCTGTGTTCAGCAGGTGAGGTGCTGGACATTGTTTATCCATAAAGCACTATTACATAAATATAGACAACTGACATGTACATACTGTACATTAAAATGCTAAAGGGGATGCATTGGTGATTTTTATTTTTTTTTTCAAAAATAAAATCATAATCATAAGTAGGTTTCACACCAAAATCAAGAGCTCCAAATTTGTATTTACTTACAGTAAAAACATCAGACTTATTTCCAATCTGGACCCTTTAACAAAACTGTATGAATTAGCAAACGGTAAACAATTAATTGAAATCCACCCATCAAAAATTGATTACTGTGAAAAATAAAAAAGAAAGAGAAAAGAAAAGTAGTTATGTAAGAGTACATTATTAGTAATGTAAGGAAATTCCTGATGGATATGAATTGGAATTAGCTCATGTACATAGAGATGCAGAAATATATGTAGCTTAAAGTGTGATTTTTTACAGAAAATGACAAAAAAAAAATATTTGTTGCTTTTTAGGTCAGCGGTGAGCATTATTATTTTACATAATTGAATCTGATTTCTTATTTATTGTCTATAGTCCTTATTGTGTGGGAGTTCTTTGGCATTTTAAATGTTACCAAAAGTCATAAGAGTCTTCATGTGTAATGGTAATATTGCTATTTATAGAAAAGGATACCATCAAGAGAAAAATAAATATATTTTGCCTTTCATGCTAATGTTAATGTTTTTGTGAAGCATTTATTGTTATACTGAATATGTGATCATCTATTTATGTGATCTTATTCACTAATAAAGCAACTGCAATTCTGCACTTTCTGTAAGTCTTATTTCCAACCAATAGATGGCAAACTAACACACAACACAGTGTGTGTGCATCTACTGCTCCAGTGCACTGAATAAATGTGAATTATAAAGTTGTTCTGTTTGCACAAGGAGTCTGACAACAGTCAGTGCTCCACACAGAGATCTGATCTCATCATCGTCCAGTCTGTCTGGAATGACATGAAGAAACAGAACAAATGCTGTTTCAGAACAAATACAAAAAATGCTGTCAAAAATAATGTCATAAATGTTCATTTATGTGGTGGACATTCAACCGAGACTGCCTTGCTAAGACTGGCAAGAGCGGATTCAAAATCTTCAATACTTATCTTGCTGGATCTGTTCTTCAAGAATTGGCTAAAAACACATCTCTTCCATCTTTATTTGACCTTCTAACTCTAGCACTCTCTATTCTAATTCTATTCTTTATTAAAAAAAAATGTAAAAAAAAAAACTTGCTCCTTTTAGACTTGCACTCTATTTATTTACTAACTGCTTGTTTTCTTAAAAAAACCTAACACTTGCTTCTCTAATCTTTTTGCATTCTATCTATTTGTTTTCTTTTTATTTATTATACAATTATAATTCTGACTTTCTGACTTCTGATTAACAAAAGCAAAAAAGTCCTCTAACACTAGCTTGCTCTATTCTTTTTCTATCTGTTTTGTTTTTATTTATTACTTGATTAAAAAAAAAAAAAACCTTGTTACGTGTAAGTCGCTTTAGATAAAAGCGTCTGCTAAATGTCTAAATGTAAATGTAAATAGATTTTCTTTATCAATTAACTTCTATTAACTAAATTAAATCAACATTTGGTGCAACCATCCTTTGCGTTTAAAGCAGCTTTTGCCCTAGGTGCACTTGCGCATAGTTTTTCAGGTAGCTTTGCAGGTAGGTTTCTTGAGGAATCTTGGAGACGTTGCCAAAGTTCTTCTGGATTTATGGCAACGTCTCCAAGATTCTTCAATTATTACAATTAATGGCACAATGAATGTTTGGAAATGTAAACTGATATTTCCTATTGACACACTACAGCAAAAGACAGAAATAACTGATTTAAAACCATTGCTTAGCTGGTGAAAATAGTGTTCTAATAATTTTGGCAACCACTCTATATATAAATGCTAAAACAAAAAGGAAGAAATCTGACAAGACGTGCAAGACACACAGTTACCACGAGACTTATTGGCCATAGTAAGGCTCTATCGGTTTATGGTGTTAAACCTGTTTGGGGGGATACAACTGAGATTAAGCAGTCTGGGATTAGCCTGGGTTATGTTCTGAGCGTCAGACACGCGTCACACATGCACTTATGAAATCGCTGTAAGGGGCCATCTGAGGACACAATGCATTGTGGGTCTGGTTAGTAGATATTACACTTGTTTAAGAGGCAAATCAGACTGTTACCACGTAACAATTTTGCATAGCTAACTTTCCCCTCCAGAACACATACTGTATATGGATATAATGATAAGAGAAGTCTTGTTAATGAAAATATGTTTTAATTAACTTAATATACTCTGGGGACAAATCAATTTCCAGAAGTTTGCTGAATCTCATCACACATACTTTTCAAGACACCTAAGGACATTCTTAATTAACTCATACAGTCATGTGAAAAAGACAGTACACCCTCTTTGAATCCTATGGCTTTATGTGTCAGGACACAATAAATCTGGTCCTTAGAGGGTCTTAGAACTAGGTAAATACAGGGAGAGGTGATGATATTAGCTTGTTTTGCAACCACAGGACCTGAGCACCTTGCAGTCATTGAGTCGACCATGAACTCCTCTGGTATTCTGCATAGTCAAATGCGAGGCCATTTGTCCGACAGCTAAAGCTTAGCCGAATTGGGTCATGCAACAGGACAATGATTTCAAGCACACCAGCAAATCTACAACGGAATGTCTGAAAAAGAAAACAATCAAGGTGTTGAAATGGGCCAGTCAAAGTCCAGACCTGAATGCTGAAATGCTTATGAGAGCTGTGCGTAAACAGATGCCGTAAACCTCAATGTACTGAAGCCATGTTGTAAAGAAGTGTGGCTCAAAATTCAAAATTCCTCCACAATGATATGAGAGTCTGATAAAGTCATACAGAAACCAATTACTTTAAGTTATTGCTGTTACTTTATTGTTACTTTAAGTTAACATGGCTCTACAAGCTATTGAATCATGGGGTGTACTTAGTTTTTCCACACAGCTTCATTTTTGTTAAATAAATAATGACAAAATGTAATATGTCATGTGTTGTTGTTCATCTGAGGTTGTATTTTCTTAATTTTAAGACCTTCTAAGGACCAGATGATTTGTTATGTCCTTATATATATAACAATAGAATTCAAGGAGGTGTACATTCTTTTTCACATGTCTGTGTATGTCTACAGTATGTTCTCAGTTAGTATGTTTTGATGTTGTTCTAGGGGAAATATTAACTAATAGTTTGTAATGGTAGAAAAAAAATAAAAAAACATCTTGTCCTCAGCTCTGTGTCACACAGCACATCAATTTTAAACATGAACAATATATGGTGGCACATTGCTGTGCCTTATAAGATAATTGTTAATAAAATGATATTAAACAAGGATCAGAAGCCCACAGTGACAGACAGAGAGAAAGATGGGAGGCAGGAAGAATAAGGTTCCGCTACAGCCTCTGAAAGCACAAGAGCTCAGCGAATGCAACACAACATCACTTAAACTAGTTCACCAAAACATTTTCATCATTTCTTCACCACCATGTCATTCCAGCCTCATATTATTGTACCTTTCTTTGACATCAAACAGATCTATCAGCCATGAGCTGGAGTTCTTGGCATACTGGTTCATTAACTTGCATGCATGGCTCTTGCTTAGAAGAAAGTAATGCTACAGTGTTACCAAGACATGGAAGAAGAGTGAGGTCATGAAAACATTCGGTTTAAAAGCGAGAAGCCAATTTTGAGTTTCCAGTTTGTGTTTAATTTCTGAATGCATGGACTGTTTCAGGATGTCTGATTGCATTGACCTGTACAAAGACACACACAAAATTCTACAGTACATTTAAAAAATAAATAATTAAATAAGCCGCTTTTTATGTAAATTGTCCTATAGGTGAGGAGAAATCAGATATGGAAAAACTAATATGCCTAATTATTATTATTTTCAGGAGCTTTGTTATAAATTGAAAATAGAGGAACATGTCTAGGACCAAAGAAATGTGACTTCTCAAAAAAAAAAAAAAAAAAAGGTGCAAATTGACAAGTTGTCTCATGGAAGTCTTATGACGAACAATTTACTTTTCAAAAATGAGGAAATAATATTAATGCAAAATCCCCTCTTTATTTATTACAATACCCTTCTTTAGTCTTATTTTGCTGCATATCATGCACATTTTCTTAAATCAGACAAGAAAGTTTTAACACTCAGAATATCTGAAAGTGAAATTATTTTTTTTTTTCAGTATTTTATAACAGTAAATTGAGCCATATGTTGTACTGTGGAGATTAAAGGATACTAGTTGCTCCTCTTGCATTTAATTGCTACTTTGCATTTGCTGTCTATGATAAAATGCATTTGAGCAGATTGACCAGTCTAAGCAGACTGGGCTTCAAAACAACAATTTACACCATACACTGAAAACCAGACAAAGATAGAGAGAGGGAGATGAGTAAGTGTTGACATCGCTCTGTCCTCAACTCACCCTGTGATATCTGTTCAAGAGCTCTGTCTGTGTGTGTGTGTGTGTGTGTTTGTGTAGGCTCAGTGACTCAGACTTAAGCAACTGCCTTAATGTACTTAATCTAACAGAGACGTCACAAGCCATAACAGAGCATGTGTTCGTACTTATTATGTGGAATTGCAGTAATAAAACTGCTCTTAAAACAGTAAAAAATTGTTACTTGGTCTTCATACCGTATAAGCTTTTAAGAGCACATGGAAAATAAAAGAATGCTACTCTATGCATAATTTCTCTGTTCCAGCATATTCTGCCAACATATCCTGACTCATCTGATCAAATTAGTTGCATATGTACACTCCTTTATTTAAGGGTGAAGGTTCTTTAAGGTAAGAAATACAGTAACAGTTGTGTCTGACTGGAAGACTGAGAAATAAGGTTTCATTGTACAGTTTGTTACAGCTGTAACTCAATAAAGGACTACTTTACAAAGAGTCCTTATGATGTTTATCTCAGGCTGCCTGAGGACATTTCTTTTCCAAGACAGGCCCTATGTAAGACCACAGTACTTGTCAAAAGTTTGGAAAAAATACGATTTGTCAATGTTTTTAAGTGTTTTATGCTTACCAAGGCTGCATTTATGAGCTCAGAAATACAGTACAAACATTAATATTGTGAAATAGTAATACAATTTAAAATAACTGTTGTCTATTTTAATATATTTTAAAATGTAATTAATTTCTGTGGTGCAAAGCTGAATTTTCAGCATCATTACTTCAGTCTTCAATGTCACATGATCCTTCAGAAATCATTCTAATATGCTGACTTGCTGCTCAAGAACCATTTCTTATTATTATCGATGTTGAAAACAGTTATGCTGCTTAATATTTATGCAGAAACCATGATACACTCCCATTCAAATGTTGGGGGGGGGGTATGTGTTTCAATAGAAATAAATTTAAAAATTCAGGAACATTTTTTTATTTAAAAACATATTCAAATACAAAATAGTTATTTCAAATTGTAATAAT